CGGGCGTCTCGTGTGGGCTCGTTTTGGGTCTCTTGGGGGCCTCGTGGGGCCTTCTGGCCGCCTCTTGGGGCCGATAGCTCGGAATTTCCGTTGAGGCTTCCACTGTGTGTCCCCTCTTGGGGCCGTCCTGGGGCTCTCCTAGGCCGTCTAGGAGGCGTCTTGGGCCGTCTTGGAGCCCTTTTGGGCCGTGCTGGGGCCTCCTTGGGGCGATCTCGGAGGCCGCTCGGGCTGTCTTGGAGCGTCGGGAGACCGAAAAGGCGGGAACGCCCAAACACATCAAAAACCGAAGGGGGGGGATTCATTGTGCCTCTGGGGGCCCTCTAGGAAAGTGCTCTTGGAGGTCTCTTGGGCCGTCTGGGGGCCATCTTGGGCGTCCTGGAGCGACCCTGTCGTGTCTCAGAGGCCTCTCTGGGACCATCTAGCGGGCCTCTTGGGGGGCGCCCAGGAGCAGAAACATGTCTGATGGAAGCTTACCGGGGACCTGGCCAGGGCACTTTTCGGCCTCGGACCCCCAGGGGCCGCCCCGCGCGCGAGAACAATAACTACTATGTACCAGTTACCAGAGATTTAGCACGCCTCTGGACCGAAGGGCCGGCGAATGCTACAAGGGTGCATACGTAGCACCCCGCAGTTGCGGACAAAGGTGAGGGGGTTGCGAGGAGGTCTGCAGTCTGCGAGGCTTTGAAGGAGCCCTCCGCAGGCGCCTAACTGTTACAAATTATGCAATGGGCCCTCCGCAGGCGCTGATTTTTGCGTCGAAGCGACATGGGTGGGGGTTGCGGGGTGGGTCGCGGATGGGTGGGTCGCGGTTGGGTGGGTCGCGGGCCTGGTCGCGGGCCAGGTCGCAGGTGGGTCGCGTGTAGGTCGCGGGTGGGTCGCGGGTAGGTCGCGGGCAGGGTCGCGGGCAGGGTCGTGGGTGGGTCGCGGGCCTGGTCGCGGGTGGGTCGCTGGCCGGGTCGCGGACCAGGTCGCGGGGGGGACGACACCAAACAAGCAACAACAACAACAACATCAACAACAACAACGCCAACGACAACATCAACAACAATAACAACACGACGACGTCGACAACAACAACACCACCACCAACAACGACGACGACGACAACGACAACGACAACGACAACACCAACAACAAACCACAACAACAGCAACAGCAACATCAGCAACAACGACAACAGTAACAGCAACATCAACAGCAGCAGCATCACCAACAACAACAACAAAAACCCGCAACGCAGAACCTCACTTCAGCCACGCGCCCAGGGTCAGTTAATGACCGTTCGGCCCCCTTACTCTGATTTTTTTGTTCAGGATTCTCGGCCTCGGAATCGTGGATTTGCGGGCTCTTTACATGCCCGGGGGACGCGCCGTGGAGAAATTACATGGTCATTTTATTTATATGTGACTCGGGTATCACGGTTCCTCAGTCGGACGGAGAGCTCGCAAGGATGATTCGGTTTTGCGAATTTTGGAATGCCATTGAGATCTAAGTTGGTAGGTTGCCGGACAGTGCGCCTCGCAGCTTTTGCGGAGCCAACGGTACCCGCCATAATGATCATGTCCCCTTCGTTTGGGGTGTTGTACCATGTTGCCTTGGGCGCGGAATCATGCTCACGTTTTGATTTGCCGAGTGCGAACGAGATGGCCAGAGTATGGTTTTGGCAACCGTGTGGCCAATATTCTCTAGGTCACCACGGCGGCGCGATGATAGTCGCACTCCTCGCGTCGTGGCCTTGGCCAGAACGGCTGCCCTTCTCCAAGGTGGCGGCGCGAGGGCCCGAATATAATCGCGGGGCGCGATGAGCGAAGCTTGGTGGCCCAGAATCTGTGCAACCCTGTCAAAGTCCTCCAAGTAGACTTGCGAGGGGATTGTTTGCCCTCCTCGGGGGCGGTGGGGGGCTTGCCGCCGCGTGTGGGCCCAAGACAGCAGCGCCCTCGGCCCCTTCTGTTGGCGCCCTTCGCAGTCCGGCCAGGCCATCACCTTTGCAATGTACGCGGCTTGCATGGATCGTGACCCCGAGCGGGCTGCGGGTTGCCAGCCGCAGCCTGCAGCCGCACCGCACCGCCGCAGGTCGGCTGGTCCCGTCGCACTCGTATCGATGACGCCCGCGGCGAGTCACCGCCGCCTCCTGCTTTCTGGGAGCGCCTGTGTGGCCGAACGTTGCGGCCACAGCTCAGCTAAGACTTCGGACTATGTGCTCCCCCCGCCGTTGTGGAAAGCTTCCGGGGAACACGATGAGGAGAAAGAAGGAGAGGAGGAGAGGGAGGCAACAGGAGGAGGAGGAGGAGGAGGAGGAGGAGGAGGAGGAGGAGGAGGAGGAGGAGGAGGAGGAGGAGGGAGAGGCCTCGTGGGTGCCCCTTGGGGCACTCTTTGGGCCTCCGGGGAGCTTCTCGAGGCATCGGCGGGGCCTTCTGGGAGCTGTCCGGAGCCTCGTTGGAGGCCCTGTGGACGCCCGTTGGGGGGCTCCTTGGCCGTTTGGGCGTCCTGGCCCGTCTGACGCCGTCGGAAGCCGTTTTGGGGGGCCTCTCTGGTCCGACGTTTGGCCCTCTTGGCGCGCTTCGGGGCCGTCTTGGAGGCCATCTTGGGCGTCTTGTGGGTCTTCTGGGCCGTCTTGGGGTCCTTTTGGGCCCGTCTTGGGGGCATCTTGGGCTGTCAGGGGGCCATCTCGGAGGCCTCTTGGGCGCTCTTTGGGCTATCTTGATGGCCTCTGGGACCGTCTAAGGCCGTCGGAAAGCCAAACATGAGCAGACGCCACAATCCTTCAATCACCTACGGAAAATCAATGATTGTGGCCTCTTCGGGCCTTCTGGGAGTCCTCTTGGAGGCCTTTTGGACCGTCTTGGGTGCCTCTTGGACGATCTTGAAGCCATCTTGGGCGCATGTCGGCCCGCTTTGGGGAACTCTGGCAATTTGGGGTTGGGGCCTCTCAGTGCCATCGCAGCCGTCTTCGAGGGCATCTTGGCCGTCTTGGAGGCAATCATGGGGCCGTCCAGAGCGAGAACACCGACGACGGGGAAGTTTATGGGTCCTTACGGGGTGGAGAGGCCCACGGGAGGCACCTTTTACGCACCCCTGCAGGTGGCCGGCGCAGTGGGCCGGAGGCCCCTGGTCATTCGTGAAAGGACTAAGAATTACCTAAAGTTTGGCACGCCGTGCACCCCTGTGGCAAGCCAGCACGGGGCGGCGGATGTAATGGCTTGGACCGATCGTTCGGCAACGTCGAGGACATGTTGGGCCGTCTGAGAGGCCTCTTGGGGCCCTCTTGGCCCGCCGCTGGGCCCGGAAAAGCCATGCAGCAAGACGCCCACGGCGCGCCGGGAGACCCGGGAGATTTGACAATTTCGGGTCTGGGCCTGCAGGAAGGATTGAGGATTGAGGCTTGAGGGGATTGAACAGCCAGGGACTTCAGGACGCTCTGACTCGTGCCTCGCAGGCACGGCGGCGGATTATTCGGTGCGGTCTGTTCGGCCCTTGGCTGGTGGCGTACTGTCGGAGGGCCGCCGCAGGGGCGTAGTCGGAGCGGCGCGGCCTTTGCCTCACCGATCGCTGCGTTTGAAGTCGGGCGTGCGGCGGGCAGTGCTGCCATGGCAGGCACAGAAGTAGCCTCGGGAGTCAATCGCTTAGGGCTCATGCTGCTCTCGTCGTTGCATAAGACAAGCGACGCCGGCGGGATATTCATATCCCCCCTCAGTATCAGCAGTGCTCTGGGCATGGTGGCCTTGGGTGCCACGCCAAATGGTACGGCCAAACATGAGATCCTTGCTGCTTGGGGGCTAAGTGCCAGCAAGGCCGATGGATTCTTACAGGGACTTCATAGCAGGACGACCGACTTAATGATTGTCAAGAAGGGCGTTCAGGTGCTCAATGCCAACAGTATTTGGTGCAGTGCTTCGATCAAGACTGATTTCATTGCCGCGGCACAGGACGCGTTCGATGCAGAGGCGAGGACATTGCCAAGCAGCCCCGCTCCCATCAACGAGTGGTGCGGTAAAGCTACTCATGGCATGATCCCTTCGATCATCAGCAGTATAGACCCGTTGACGGTCGCCGTGTTGGTCAATGCCGTGTATTTCAAGGGCATGTGGGCGAAGCAGTTCGATTCGGCTCTCACCTCTCCTGGGACGTTCCGCTCTGCATCGAAGGGGCCGCTTCCCTGCGCAATGATGAAGCGCACCGATAAGCACATGCGCTACGCCGAGGGCGCCGACTTTCAGGTCGTCGAGCTGCCGTATGGCTCGGGGGGACAAGACGATGGTATGTCTGCTGTCGTGGTCCTCCCCAGAGAGGGCACCGCACTTCCAGACATCGTGGAGCGGCTAGGTAACCCTGGAGGAGTGGAGTCCCTGGCTGAAATGTTGGAGCAGCTGCAGCGGTCGCATGTGTCCCTGCAACTCCCTCGTTTCAAGCTGGAGTTTGGCGTCCATGACCTGAAGCCCGAGCTGCGATCTACCTTTGGCATGTCCCGCGTGTTCGATGGGACTGGCGAGTTTCAGGGCATGTCCGATGACCCTGAGCTGTATTTGTCGTCGGTATTTCACAAGGCTGTGGTTGAAGTGACTGAGGAGGGTACCAAGGCCTCGGCAGCCACAGCTGGTGTCATGATGACCAGAGCCGCCGTCGTCTTCGATCCTCCGCAGCCGATGGTTGTGGATCGCCCTTTCCTCTTTCTGATTCGCGAGGTGTCTACAGGAATGCTGCTGTTTGCTGGTACTGTAGAGAACCCCGACTTGGAAATTTAGGGCCGTTGGGTGAGAGAAGGGCCTGGGCGCCTGAACGGATCGTCGCACTGCGAGTGTCGACCTGCCGTTTTGGAGCCAGGGCCACGGAGTTCTGACGATGAACATGGACCGACGGCGGAGGGCAGAATTCGGGCGGGTGGTAATGGAGGGTGCCCCAAACGAGGGGTGAAGCAGAGGGCCCTAAAGGGGCATGTTAGGGCCCTTTTCTTCACCTCCCATGTGGGTCACCTCCCATTACCACCCACCCGAAGAACCTGAGATCCGACGTCGCGAACAACAGGAAGCATCGTGAAGCAGCACGCCCGGAATCGATCTTTGCGAGGGCCCCACGGTGCCCGAATCTGGGCGAAGCCGCTTTCGTTTGAAAAACATGTGAGGCCTGGATCATTATCGTCTAGATCATCGCCGCTATCATCAGCATCATCAGCATAAGCGTAATCATCATCCTCATCCTCATCATCATCATCATCATCATCATCATCATCATCATCAGCATCACCAGCATCCACGTTATCAGCATCATCGTCATCATCACCACCAAACAACAACATCGACATCATCATCAGCAGCATCATCATCATCAGCCTCATCATCATCAGCAGCATCATCAGCAGCATCATCATCACCATCATCGTCATCATCAACAGTACCATCATCAAGAACATTCTCATCACCATCATCATCAGCATCAGGAGGCGCTCTCTTTGGGCCAGATTCGGGGCCCCCTCGCCAGCCCGCCCAGAAGTTGGCAGCTCCGGCCCGGCCGTTGCACAGTCCGTCCAGGCCACGGGGCAGAGAAAGCAAGCGCGTGCGTTGTCGATGCCACGAAGGAGGGGGGCTAAAGGTCTCCCTCGTCGCACTCTGCGCCTGGCATTTTCCTCAGCTCCCTGGGGTTGGGGGAGAGGCAACGGGAGTGGTACTCGGAGCGGAGAGTCGCATTCAAGGAGGAAGTGGGAAGTGCAAGCAGTGACCAGCCGTAGCTGTTCCGTCAAGGCATTCACCTTTCAGCGTGCGCCGTGCGAAAACATCACGCTATACTCTCCCATCCATGAATTGTCTTTTGCATGTAGTGTGTTTGAAGCCGCTCTGCTTGCATCAGGCGAACCTTGCTGCATCAGGCTTCTGCGTCGGAGGACCCCACTGGCAAGATTCGACCTGGATCGAACCTGTTCTGGCCTGCATGGTGCCTTGCATTTGCCCTGCCGAATGGCGTGCTGGACCTTGCGTCTCGACCACGTCTGCCCGCCCGGGTGTCCCGCCTGCCGCAGTCGAGCCTGCCTCGATATGCCGAACACGTATAGAAGGCGAACACGGCAAACCACCGCCACCCCTTGCCCTTTCGAAATGCCAATGTGGCCAAAGTTTGGCCAGGTTGTTGGGCGACGTATGTGCTCCCCAAGCCGTTCTGGAGGCCTTGCTTGAACCCAGCGCGTTCGCACGAGCTGAAATATCGATGATATCAAAGTACGGGTCGGCTGGAATATAACGCGAGTGCCAGCGCCGACTACAGGTCAGAGCGGGCACCTCGCCAGCCACGTGCGCAGGCGGACAGTCTTGGGAGGGGAGAGCTGACCCACGGGATCGATCTTCGGGACCTCGGCAGGTGGTGGATATGGAGATATTCGGCCACCTTTATGCCAGAGTGTATCCATATGCACCTCCTCATGGGGTCTCAGGACGTCGGTTCCCCAGGCGGTGGATGTGAGTCGCTGCCGCCTGGCAGGAGAGGCTCTCCGATCCGATCCGAGCCGGCTTCCCGATCCGATGCTGCTTGATCCCGCCATCGCCCTGCCTCGTGGGCGGCATACATTCGAACGGGGCTGGAACGAGGAGGAATCCGTCCCAGAGCGTTCTGGAACGCTCTCAGTCGGGGGAGAAAAAGATACGGATACGTGTTGTCCCCCGTCGTTTTCGGCCTTTCCTGGTCCTCCTGGGGAATCCTCGTTGTCACCGCTGGATTCGCCTCGAAATTCTGGTCAGAGCGCACCCCAAGAGAGGTCCGGGGATAACACGTATCCGTATCTTTCCGCCCCCCAACTCAGAGCGTTCCAGAACGCTTTGAGAAGGCCGCGGCGCCCGAGACGTCGTCCAGGGTCGCCAGATCTCAGAGATTCTCGATGCATCTTCACCCGATTTTATCTTCGTCCTGGCTTCGCCGTTTGCGCCTCCGTATCCGTGGCATCGCGGGCCTGACCCCTGGGCATCCCGGGGCCGCGACCCCGTGGGTATGGTGCGTTTTTTCATGGATGCCCCGCGCGGAACGTATCCATGCGACCGCGTATCCGCAGGATCGCGCCCCGAAATCCTGACCGCGGGGGCGTAGACATGGATGCCTCCGCCGCTGTCGGCTGCCCCCGCGGTGCACACCGATGCGCCGCCACCTCCCCGACCGGCACCCCGTGGCAGGCGCGCGGCGACCGTGCTGGCGGCCTCGTCGGCGGCGACCGTGCTGGCGCTCCAGGTGTCGGTGCGATCGAAGTGGGTACGCAAAGAACTGATGGGCCACTCTTCCACCACCACTACCATATGTAGGACGGGAGAGAAGTAAGGTTGGGGAGGTCCTCTTGCTCTCCTCCTCCTTCCCCTCCTCCCTGTCCTACCTGTGGTAGGGGTGGTGGAACATCGGCCCACCAAAGAACTGGCACGAAGACCGACGGCCGTTCCTGTCCGTTTGGGACAGGATTCGCTGTCTGCGCCGCCGCGTGCGTTGTCCATTCGAGATTAGAGGTCGGCTGCCCAGCAGCGGCCGCTGTCGGTTTTGGACGACACTTGCTGTTGAGCATCGTGCCCGTATTTCCATACCTATTTTGGTCGTGCCCAAGGTCGGCGTTTGGAAGGCGCGGTTCAAGGCGAAGTTGCGGAGGGCCCAGCGCCCCCCGCAGGACCAGCGGGGTGTCCAGGGCAGAAATTTGTCAGGGGCAACGACAGCGGAGGTGGGCTTAGGGGGTCTGCATCGACCCCCAATCGCTACGAACTGCGCAGCTATCGCCACTTACGTTCGTGGGCTCCTGGGAGGCACGGCGGAGATGAGAGCAGCCCTGATCGTACATATTTGGTGATTGTTCTGCTGTTGCATGGTGCGTTCATGCAATTATTCGCCTCGTGTGGAGAAGGGTATCGGAGCGTCTTTACAAAGATGTTGAGCCCCCAATTGGAGGAGGAGGAGGAGGAGGAGACGAAGGAGGCGACGAGGGAAGAGAATGAGGATGAGGAGGGTGAGGCAACGAAGAAACAGGAGGACGATATGAAGGAAGAGGATGAAAAGGAGGAGGACCCGTGTAAACCCAAGGCTCATTAACGATATTGCAACACACCTTCCCTCCAGGATCCCTCTTCACAGACATTTGTTTGAACATCCTGAAAGGTGCCAGAACACCATTCCTGGGACTTTAGCGCCGCGAATCGCCGCTGCTCTTGCGTCTGGACGACCCTGAATCGTGCCAGAGCACAATTCTTGGGACCGCAACGCTACGAACCAACGTACACGTTGCGCCCCGAGAGTCCGACATCGTGCCACAGCGCAAATTCTGGGAAGTTCACCATGCGGCATGCGAATCCTAGTACGTGTTGTAAGCTCTTCGGAAGCTTGGTGGTCCCCAAACGTGGTGGTGAGAACACCCGGTGGTGAGTTGTGGGCGATTTGGGTAATGGTTTTCGAGCGCTGGCTGGCCCAGGAAACGCACAACCTCGTGGCGACGGCGTGTCCCCAAACCCGGTGGTGACCTAGAATCATTTTTTGGGGGGATCGGGGTCACCACCGGGTGTCTCACCACCTGGTTTGGAGACCACCAAGAAGCATGTGCGCGGCGCTGAGGCTGAGGCGAGAGGCGCCTGCTCTGCAGAAGGCACCGCCCTCCGCCCGTGCTGTTCTTGCCAAGGGTCAAAGCCAATGCGCGCGGCCTTCAGGCGAAGGCCTCCGTTGGAAAACCAGCCGCCCTCCATCTTCGAAGCGTTGGCAGTCGCCTTGGCGAAATTTGCTCGGCGCCGAGGCGAGAGCCATCTTTTCGAAAACGGCCCGCCGTCCACTCGCTACAACGTAAGGAATGTGTGTTAGCCGATGCGCGCGGCGCTGAGGCGAGAGCCACGTTGTGAAAGCCATCCGCCCTTCATCTGTGAATTTGTTCCAGAATCCTTTCAGGACCATTCGTGGTGAGGAAGTCTCAGGCGAAACGCTTGGGCCCCTTTCGACCAGCCTCGAGGTGCGACAGGGAGGAGTGATGTAGCAGAAGAGAACGTAATGGAGATGAAAGAGAAGATCGAGAGAGAGAGAGAGAAAGGAAAAAGGGAGTGGAGCGCGAACAATCGCTGTTGAAGTAGTTCTTGGGGTAGATCTTTGAAACACGGGGGGGGAGCATTTTGCCCCCAAACCCCTTCTTGGGACCTTTTTGTTCGTCTTGGCTCTCTCGCTCTCTGGTGTCTGGGAAATCACGCAGCTGGCTCCTGCAACTAGTCATGCGAGAGGTTTCTGACATTTTGAACAGTGGGGTTCTGGGCTTTTCTGGCGTGCAACAACTCAGTACTGGAGAGTCGGAGGGATCTTTGAGGAATCTCCATTCAGTGCTTCATGGCATCGGTGGCGAAGCTTGGCACTTGTTTTTCGGAATGGGTCAGCATCTTGTTTATGCCCTTTACGCATTTGACCGTACGGAGCATCAGGACAATGACGTGTCAGACTTCGACCTGAACGTGTTGCCCCCGATCTTGCCCTCGCGGTTGCCCGCTGGCCACTCCCAGACGGCCTCGCGCCGTGTGTGGCGCAAGATCGTTTATTGGGCGAGGAGCTCGTGTGGACGTAGGGAGGCGAGGAATGGGGAGACATCTCGGGGAGAGTCAACTCGAGCGTCTTAGCGGGCAGCACGCTTGCACTTTAATGGTTGCTTTAATTAGCCGTCTGACCTTGCATAACGGTTTGCTGGCCGCCACACTTACATAAGGCGCTTCGGTCTTCGCCCACAAGTGTGTATGTGTGTGGAGCGGGAGCTGGGGGCGTGTACGCACCAACCATGGCAAATGGATACGAGTACAGCGCCTATCCAAACACGCACTGTGACTCTATGGTGTCGGTATTATGTTGGCCTTTGCTTGAAGTGTAATTTGCGGCCGACTCTCTTGCGTTGGCCTTTGTTCGAGGTTCTGGAACGCTCTACACGTTTTGTTGTCCGCCATCGGAGATGTTTGTCCCAGGACAGGCGTCTTTGGGTGCGAACTTCGTGCGCTAATCATGGTTGGTGCCAGAGGTGTCCTCGGCCCAAGGTGTCTTCAGGAAGTCCAGCGAGGTCCCGCGGCCTCGGGAGCACCACGGACGAGGCCCAGAGAGCCCTCGGGGCTTCAAGATGAAGGGAGGAGCTAGGGACACCTTGGGCCCCGGGACTCCTTTGGCACCTCCCGAACACCGGGGGCCCCCAAACGGGGCGGTGACCACACCGTGCGGTGAGTCGGTGGGTATTCAGGGTCACCGCACGGTTTTGGGACCCGGGTCGTTCTCCGAGGTCGCCTCGGGCGACTGGGGCCGCCCGAGGTCCCAAGACCGTGCGGTGACGGACCGTGCGGTAAGGTTTTTGGGGGGATTGCGAGGTCACCGCACGGTCTGTCACCGCACCGTTTCGGGACTCCGAAGAGGTGCAGGGACGAGCTATAGGGGCACCACGAGTCCGCTCGGCGTCCCCGCGGCCCTCGGTTTGCCGTCCTCCTTGTCGCGAGTTCCAGTGCGGAGATTTCAGCAGGTGTCGGAAACTGGAGCATAGACATTACCAGCGGCGGGTTATGTGTTCAGTCCCACGACTTTTTGAGGATCGGGGACGACGTCGTGGTGGTGTGGTGTGTACTTTTCCCCCGTTTCCCAGGGGAAGCAACGAAACATGTATACTGTCGCGATTTCCAGTGCCGAGATTTCAGCAGCTGGTTTGGTCAGCGGTCGCGGGGCGATTGCGCGGCGGTCGGACGTCCACGGGGACGCGCCAGCGATCGCAAGTTGGGGGCCAAGGGCGAAGCGGGGAGAAGAGGGAGCGGCAATAGAGGGGGTGAAGGCAAGCTAGGAGCGCTCGCGCCGTATCTGACATTATACCCCAGGCGATGCTTAAGAAAACTTCAGTCTTCGGCCAGAGTCTCGATTATTCTTAATGTTTCAGTGTGAATCCTAAAATTTCGATAGGAATTCTGGGTTTTTATTCAAGTTCTGAGACTATGAATTTCTTAACCCATGATTTCTAAAGCATTTCGCAGGGTGTATACCTCCCTCCCATCCCTCCCCACTGTGCTCATGTTGCTGCATCCGCGGACGCGCGTCTTAGCCGGCCCGGAAGTTCCACAGCAAAACCCACCGTGTTTTGCGGCGCAATCGGGACAGGTAACAGTTTGTGTGCCGTGGGGCCTGTGAGACCTGCGACACCTGTAGGACCCGTGGAACCTGCGGGATCTGTGGGAACTTCGGGACCTGTGAGACCTGCAAGACTTGTTGGACTTGTGGTACTGGCGGGACCTGCGGGACTTGTGAGACTTGCGGGACTCGTCGGACCTGTTGGACCTTTGGGGCATGCGAGAATTGCGACACCTGCCGGACCTGTCAGACCAGTGAGACCTGCGAAGCGACTTGCGACACCTGTGGGACCTGTGGTGCCTGCGAGACCTGTGGGATCCAGAAAAGTGGCCCTCGCTTGGGCGGGGGCGGCATGCTGAACAACGGGAGCACAGCGCCGATCCGAAGATGAAGCCCACGCTGCAGCGAGAGCACCATTTGTGAACAATTGTAAGGCTTACAATTTGTAAGCAACCAGGTGATAGCAAACCATATGAAGAGCCATTCCGCGCAAATCTTGCGCAACAGAAATTAGACGCGGAGGGATCGAAGAGAGACAACACGTATGACAAGCGAACTGGTTCACAGCATGTGTGTAAGAATCCATTGCGCGGAGGCCTGGGCGGACACTCTCAGGACCCTTCGGGGGAGAAAGGAGAGTTTTAACCATAGCGTGTAATTGTGGAGGCCCGCTTCAAAGCTTCAAGATCTTCGTGGGCGCGCAGCTCCCCACGTTCGACAGAGAGAACATGGCGTGAACTTCAGCTTTCGGAGGTTCGCGCGGTCTCTCTCGGAGCGGCGCTGGACGCCCGTGGCGGCGCCTCCCTCGCCTCCCCTGGCGCGCTCCGCGTGCCAAGGAAGGGGTTCGGCGCCGACCCGCGAGTGTCGCGGCGCGGACCTCCGGAAGTTCGCGCTCGCGCTTTTTACTCGCAGGCGCCACCCAAGGGACTCCCAGGACGAGGCGAGTTCCGCGCGGAACTCCAAAGTTCCATGCTCATGGGGACGAGGTGGCATTCTAAGGACGCCCTTGCACCATCGCCTTCTCAGCCTGCCCCCGAGCCGATCTCGTCGGCCAGGCCCTCGGGATGGCGGGATGGCCTCGCTCCCAGGGGTCTCGCGTCCTTTACGACGCGCGGCGACTGCGTGCCGCTCTATCATCCTGCGATGACTCGCTGGCAGCCACCCCCCAGGAGACACGACAGAGCCAAGCACGGCACCGTTGACCGGCTGGCGGGGGTCGGAACCGAGGGCGGCGTCCTCGACAAGATTGTTGTCGCGGGGGGTCAGTAGCAGATCATAGTTCGAGGCGCAGTGGTGTCGCACGAGCCGTGCGAGCCCATAGCCCCAGCGTCTTGGCGTAAAGCATAGCGTAAGGCTTTGGAGGCATCAGGGGCCCTCACTGGTCGAGCAGTGTGTCAGTATGGAAAGCTGGTCCCAGGGACATTGTAGCCGCTGTAAGGAATTGAATTTCGTTTGGCCGCTGACCCTGCCAGTTCTTGCGAGACGTGCTCCAGTCGCGCTGCTGCGCGTAACCACCACACGCAATGGGTCAGCGCTGAGAGGAGGGGGGCCGACCTGGGGGGATAGGGCGCAGGGGGGCGGGGGGATACAGTCCACGAGCGTGAGCCACTATATATTCTATGATTGGCTTGGCTTTACGAGCGGCGGGCCAAACACTTGCGGACTTGGAGCAAAGCAGGTGGGCGCGTGTTTTGATTTGATGTGGCAGAGCTTGGCCATTACTTGGCCAGACGCTCACCAAATGAACGACAAGAGCCCAACACACGCCAGCCGTTGCGCAGCGGTGTGGCGGATCATATCAGTTCGGTTTGGGTTGTCATACGTGTTAGTTTCTAGACCTGCCTCGACGAGCACCGTCTGAGTGTAGAGAAAGAGCAGCAGTGCGTTGGCAGGGGGTTCGAGAACATGTTCTATGGTTCTTGTTTATTGTGTTTGCACAGCGCTTGTGACGGGGCCTGCGTTTCTTTCAGGGAGCCCATGCGTTCCGGGTGGACTTCTGGAAACACAGGGGGCTTTGAGAGGAGTAGGTGGCTGAGGAGGAGGAGGAGGAGGAGGAGGGGGAGTTCCCGACACCCTACCAGTGTACCACCGAAGCGCATGGATCTTCACCGAAGGCCGAGGAGCACCCTCCCCACACAATCGTGCCCCTACCTTTCCTGGCTCCTTACTCTGCTCCCTCTGTCATGGCCAGCTGCTTATATGTCACTCACACTGGCCCCCATCAGATTGCGAAGGCCTTCGGCGGCGACGACGACGACGACGCCGCTGATGTGGGTCAGAGTCCTTTTGGATGCTTCTTCGGGTCTTCCGGGAGCGCTGTCGGGGGCCTCTGGGGGGCAGTTTTGGGGCCTTTTGGGAGCCATTTGGGGGCTTCTCGGGAGCCTCTTGGGGCCTCTTGTGGCTTCTTGGGGGCTTTTGAGGGGCCTCTTGACGCCTCTTGGGGTTCTCCTGGGGGCCTCTTGGGGCCTTCTGGGAGCCTTCCGGTGCCGAAGACTCGAAATTTGTTAGTTCGGGTCCCCCGTTGGGGCACCCTCTTGGAGCCGTTTTGGGTGCCTCTTGGGACGTTCTGGAGGCCTCTTGGGCCGTCTTGGTGCCCTCATCTGTAGCTTTGGGGCCTGGAGGCCTTGGGCCGCCTTGGGGCGATCTTTCGCCTCTTGGGCCGTCTTGGAGAGTCAGGAAGCTGAAAAGGCGAGAACGCCCAAATATCATAGGAAGCAAAGGTACCCGTACCGCTACGCCTCGCCCGTTTTTCCCTTTCGCGGCCTCCTGCGCGAGACCTTCGTCGCCACCACTGGATTCGCCTCCAAGTCCTGGTCAGGTCACACCCCAGGAGAGGTCCGGGGAGTAGCGGTATCGGTAACTTATCGGCTCCCCTGAAATATCTTAAACAATTATGGTACATCAGTGAAGTTTGCCTCTTGGAGCTCTCTTGAGATTGCTCCTGGAGGTACCGGGCCGTCTTGGAGGCCTCTTGGGCCGTCTGGAGGCTATCTTAGGCGTTCTGGACCGTTCGGCGATTCGGGCCCCTCTTGGACCGTCTTGGGGCCCTCTCGGGGCGCTCTTGGCCCGTCTTGAGGCCTTGTTGGGCTTCTTAACCTGGGGGACTGTATCCTGACCGGGGACCCACCCAGGACCCCCCACCGATTGGGAAGGTATAAAAGAAAGGGCTTCCATTCGATTCAATTACGATAATGCTTAATTGCTCTTTGGCTGGCGCGCTTGAGGAGAAGGGCCCAGGAGAGGGGGTGAGTGGTGACGATGGCGACTCGTGCAAAAGAGAAACCTCTCGAACACGCGGATGTTCCTGGCCTGCCAGTCAGATGTCACTCACATTGGCCCCATCATGTTCATGATGTCTCTCAGCGCACCAGTTCCTCTTCGCCTGCTGCTCGCGTATGTATAGCCAAATGGACGCGCATGAGCACAGAGGACAAGTTCATGTTCGTTCGTGGTGTGCGTGCTGGTGGTGCGTTGGCAGGTCTATGGCGGAGGTGCGTTCGGCACCGCGTTGGGCACGCACTTGGCGCGAAAAGGCTACGCCGTCCATATGGTTGTCAGACGGCCTGAAGTTCGGGACCTGCGCCACTCATCATTGCATTGCGGGTGAGCTCAGGAACCATTAGTTGTGAGTTTACATGTGTTGACGGAGTCGTATATCACAGCATGCGCATGGCTCCGATCCACAGGTCATGCAGATGATTGTCCTCTTTCTTCTATCCTTTTTCTGTTTCTCTCTCTCTCTCTCTCTCCCCCCCTCTCTTACCCATCGTTAACCATCCGATTATCAGAGTTTGCGTGTGTGGTTCATGCCCGCGCTTGGGTTACCGTATTGTCGTTGCGGAATGTTGCAATATTATTCGCGGACAGTGGAGGATTTTATTAACAGGAAGCACATCAACCCGATGTACTTTCCAGAATTTGATTTGCCGCCGAGCCTCCAAGGCGATTCGTGATCGACGCGTCTCTATCGCAGTGCAATGGTTCATGTCGCAAGCGTACCACGCATAGTAAGTCATTCTGGCTGCTTCTGCCGATGAACAGCTTGTTCACGCATCAAAACCATACCAGTCAGATGTACGTTTGCGTATATGTGGTTCTCAGCTGTTTGAGCACATCCATTGTATGGCGTGTTAGTTGTTAAACGTTTGGTGCCCCGCGCAGCGTGCACGTTGTACACTTGCCTCGTAGCACCCGTCACGGCATTTGTTCTATGCACGGCGCTTTTCTGTAGCAGTACGCAGTGGAGTTGTTTTCCTACCAGGATGTAATGCGCAGCACGAATGGCAGCAGTTTGGTAGAGGTAGGATGCCAACATGCAAGAACATTGCGCATTGCTTGAGGGCTGCAGTCGTACATTCGAATCCATGTGCTACCAAACGTAACACCACCAACAGCGTGGCTCTCTGGCGGAAGATCTCAGCCTGTGCATCATGATTTGCACTGGCAACTGAAGACATGTATCCCCAAGCCATTAGCATCGGGCAAACTATTTGTTCTGGTCACCTCAGTGCTGACCAAAGATGGTTGGTGCAGCGCCGTGCGACATTGTAGGCGAAGTTAGTATGCGAGTCCGCTTGTTTCCAACCATCCTGTGGTGATGGATCCTCGCGTTGAATCCTCAGCGCCCCGCGTTCGCTCCTTCCGCCTTACCCTCCTTCCTCCTCCCTCTGCTCTCCGCACGACCATTTCGGCATACCCTTCAAAAGTTTCGTGGTCCCATAGGGGGCTCCACCCATGGCCACACTGGCACGGTTCGCATGCGCCCCCCCCGCTCCCCCCCCCCCACCACACACACACACACACACACACACACTCACACACACACACACACACACACACACACACTCACACACACACAGACACACACACACACACACACACACACACACACACACACACACACACACACACACACACACGTTTCGTGGTCTGACAGAGAGTGCCACCCAGGGCCCCAGTGGCACGGTTCGCATGCGTCTCCACCGCACACGTCCTTTACACGCTTCGTGGCCCTTACAGGGAGCTCCAATGAGGGCCCCAGTGGCAGGGTTCACACGTGTGCCTCCCGCCCATTACAGCATACCCCTCACACGTTTCGTTGTCCCATAGAGGGTTCCACCCAAGGCCTCAGCGGCAGGGTTCGGATGCGCCTCCCGCTCCCCTCCATCATGCCACACCCCTCGCACTTTTCGTCCAGGGCCCCAGTGGCAGGCTTCGCATGCGACTTCCCCGAATATTACGGTACGCCTCTACAAATACGGTACGCCCTTCACATGTGCCGTGGCCCCATAGGGATTTCCACCCAGGGTTCCAATGGCAGGGTTTTGCGTGCGATTTTTCCGCCCGTTCTGGCATACCCTGCTTACGCTTCGTGACCGCATCTGGAGCTCCACCCACAGCCCCGGTGGCAGGGTTCGCAGGCGTCTCCCCCCCGCATTACGGTACGTCCCTCACACCTGTCGCGACCCCATCGGTAGTTCACCCAGCGCCCCAGCGGCAGGGTTTGCATGCGCCTCCACCGCCCCTAGCGGCACGCCGTTCCCACGTCTCGTAGCCCCACAAGGGAGTTCCATCCATGGCCCCAGTGGTAGGTCGCGCATGCGTATCCTCCACCCACTTGGCTACACCTTCCACGTTGCGTGGCCGCAGAGGGGGCTCCGCACGGGAGGCCCCCGTGGCACTGTTCGCACACGGCCCCCTCGCCCATTTTGGCACAACCCCTCAGACGCTTCGCCGCCCGATGCGGAGCTCCACCGAAGACGATACGCACAACTACGACACTTACACCTGCGAAAGAGCGCGCCCGCACGGAACTCAATACTAAAAGGGGGGACCCGGCTTCAAGCTACCCCCCCCCCTTCCTTAGAAAAGAGGGAGGGGGCTTCCGAAGCTACCCCCCTCCCCCCTCCCTTTCGGAAGCATTTTTGAGCTGGGGCGGCCCTGGCTAAAGGGGGGGGGCTTCGAAGATACCTCCCCCTTCCTCCCTTTTCGGGGCCAGAGGTAAGCCTGGGCTCCCCTTTATAAGGGGGGGGGGCTTCCGAAGCTACCCCCCCACTCCCTCCATTTTAGAAGCATTTTTGAGCTGGGGGGGCCCTGGCTAGAAAGGGGGGGGGGGGCTTCGAAGCTACCACCCCCCTTCCCCCCTTTTCGGAGCCAGAGGTAAGCCCGGGCTCCCATTTCTAAACGGGTGGGGGGCTTCGGAAGCTACCCCCCCACCTTCCCTTGCAGCCGGGTCTCGCGGGGCTCGCTATCGGGGTCGCGCGAGCGCGGCGCGGCGCGCGTGTTACGCGCGGCCCAGTGGGCAGGCTTTCGGACCCTGGTTCGTTGTTTCGTTTTCTCGTTTTCTCGGCTTTGTTTTTTTTGTGTTGCTTTTTCGGTCTTGTTTTCGTATTTTCTCGGCCCCTGGATCGTGGTGTCATTTTTCCTCGGACCCTTAGTTTTCTCGTTTTCTAGTGTTCTCGGCTCCTGGGTCGTGGTCTCGTTTTCTTTGACCCTGGTTCGTTTTTTGTTTTCTCGGCTCCTGGATCGTGGCCCCGTTTCCTCAGACCCTGGTTCGGTTTCTCGTGTTCTCCGTTTCTCAGCTCCTGGATTGTGGTTTCGTTTTCTCTGACGTTGGTTCGTTTCCTCGTTTTCGTTTTCTCGGCCCGTGGGTCGTGGTCTTTTTCTCGGGCCGCGGTTCGTTTTCTCGTTTTCTTATTGTCTCGGCCCCTGGATCGTGGTCTCCGTTTCTCGGGGCCTGGTTCGTTTTCTCGTTTTCTCGGCCCCTGCATTTTTATATCATGTTCTCGGCCCCTGGTTCGTTGTCTTGTTTTCTCGTTTCCCCGGCCCCTGGGTCGTGGTCTCGTTTTCTTTGACCCTTATTCGTTGTCTTGTTTTTCTTGTGTTATTGTCTCTTGGCTCGTGGTCTTGTTTTCTCGGACCCTGTTTTGTTTTCTTGTTTTCTTGTTTTCTCGGCCCCTGGGTCGTGGTCCAGTATTCTCGGACCCTCGTTTGTTTTATCGTTTTCGCATTCTCTCTGTCCCTTGGTCGTGGTCTCGTTTTCTCGGGGCCTGGTTCGTTTTCTCGTTTTGTTGTTTTCTCGTCTCCTGGGTCGTGTTTTAGTTTTCTCGGGCCATGGTTCGTTTTCTCGTTTTCTCTTTTTTCTCTTCCCCTGGGTCGTGGTTTAGTTTTCTCGCGCTATGGTTCGTTGTCTTGTTTTATCGTTTTCTCTGCCGCTGTGTCGTGGTTCGTTTTTTTTTTTTTTTTTGTTCTGACCCTGGTTCGTTTCTTGTTTTCTCAGCGCCTGGGTCGCGGTCCAGTTTTCCCTGACCCTGGTTCGTGTTCTCGTTTCTTGTTTTCTCAGCGCCTGGGTCGCGGTCCAGTTTTCTCGGACTTGGGCTGTGGTTTCGTTTTCTCGGACGTTGGTTTATTTTCTCGTTTCCTCGTTTTCTCTGCCCCTGGTTCGTAGTCTCGCTTTCTCGGGCCCTGATTCATCTCCTCGTGTTCTCGTTTTCTCGGCCCCTGGGTCGTGATTTGCGTTGTCTCGGCCTGGGTCGTGGTCTCCTTTGCTCGGACCCTGGTTTGTTTTCTCGTTTTCTCGTGTTCTCGGCCCCTGGGTCGTGGTCTCGTTTGCTAGGACCCTGGTTCATTGTCTCGTTTTCTCGTCTTCTGGGTTTTTGTTTGGTTTTCTCGGGCCCTGGTTCGTTTTCTCGGCCCCTGGGTTGTGTTCTCGCTTTCTCGGGCCCTGGTTCGTTTTCTCGTTGTATCGTTTTCTCGGCCCCTGGGTCGTTGTTTCGTTTTCTCGGGCACTGGTTTGTTTTCTCGTTGTCTCGTTCTGTCGGCCCCTGGATCGTGGCCTCGTTTTATCGGGCGCTGGTGTGTTTTCGCGTTTTCTCTGCACTTGGGTCGTGGTCTCGTTTTTCTTGGACCCTGGTTTGTTTTTTGGGACCCTGATTCGTTTTCTCGTTTTCTCTTCCCCTGGGTCGTGGTCTCGTTTTCTCGGACCCTGCTCGGGTTCCTCGTTTTCTCTGCCCTTGGGTCGTGGTCTCGTTTTCTCGGACCATGGTTTGTTTTCTCGTTTTCTCGTTTTCTCTGCCCCTGGGTCGTGGTTTGTTTGGTTTTCTCTGACCCTGGTTCGTTTTTTCGTTTTCTCGTGTTCTCTGCCCCTGGGTCATCGTCTCGTTTTCTCTGACCCTGGTTCGTGTTCTCGTTTCTTGTTTTCTTGGCGCCTGGGTCGCGGTCCAGTTTTCTCGGACCTTGATTCGTTTTCTCGTTTTCTTATTGTAGTGGCCTCCGGCCAGTGCCGCCGATCCAAGGCGCTCCGGATGATGATGATGTTGATGATGATGACGATGATGATGATGTTGATGATGATGATAATTACGATGATGATAGCGATGGTGATGATGATGATGATGATGATGCTGATGCTGATGATGATGAGATGATGATGATGATGATGATGATGATGACGATGATCATGATCATGATGATGACGAGGATGATGATGATGATGATGATGATGATGATGATGATGATGTTGATGATGATGATGATGATGATGATGATGATGATGATGATGATGATGATGATGATGATGATGATGATGATGATGATGATGATGATGATGATGATGATGATGATGATGGGTGGTGGTTGGTGGTGGTCGGTGGTGGTGGTGGTGGTGGTCGGTGGTGGTGGTGGTGGTGGTGGTGGTGGTGGTGTGGTGGTGGTGAGTGGTGGTGGGAGTGGCTGGTGGTGGTGGTGGTGTGGTGGTGGTGGTGGTGGTGGTGGTGGTGGTGATGATGATGATGATGATGCGATGATGAGATGATGATGATGGATGATGATGATGATGATGATGATGATGCTGATGATGGATGATGAGTGATGATGGATGATTGATGCTGCTGCTGCTGCTGCTGCTGATGATGATGATGATGATGATGATGATGATGATGATG